GCTGATTAATCAGCTGCGCCCCTACCTGGAGTATGACTGCCTGGCGACGGTGACACACGCGCTGGTGACTTCCCGCCTAGACTTCTATAACACGCTTCACGTGGGGCTTCCCCTGAAGACAGTCCGAAGACTTCAATTGGTGCAAAATAGAGCTGCCAGGTTGCTGACGGGGACGGGGCGTTATGCTCACATGACTCCAGTCCTCCGTCAGCTTCACTGTCTTCCCATTGAAGCCTGGGCCCAATTCAAGGTGTTGATTATGACCTATAGAGCCCTAAACGGCTTGGGTCCTGGCTACCTGAACGAGCGCTTACGTCCGTATATGCCCAACCGCCCCTTGAGATCTGCGGGAGAGTCCCTTCTCCGGGAACCCTCCATGAAGGAAATTAGGAGAGTAAGTACTTGGAGGAGGGCTTCCTCTGCGGTGGCGCCCAACCTATGGAATTCACTCCCCAAAGGGGTCCGCCTGGCACCGTTGTTACTGGTTTTTCGGCGCCAGGTAAAGACCTTTTTATTTAAACATCATTTTAATTGTTAAAACATATGATCTGGCCAGGGCAACTTCTTCTTCCTTCTCTTTCTCCTCCTATATTTTTATTTTATACTGATAATTTTAATTTTATATTTGTAAATCAATGTATTTTTTGTATTTTTGTATTTAATGGTAATTTATTATGTACTATTGTATTTCAATGTATTTTATCATGTTGTAAGCCGCCCCGAGGTTTCGGCAAGGGGCGGCATAGAAATGTTATAATAATAATAATAATAATAATAATAGTAATAATAATAACAACAACAACAACAACAACTTATGATACTGTGAGGTTTTATTGTAGGGTTTTTCTATTTGATTGTTATGATTTTACTGTAATATTTGTTAATATTGTTTCATTACGTATATTGGCACTATTGTTTAATTATATTTGGTAAACCATAAAGAGAGCCATTTTGTCTGTAGGGAAGGAAAGAAATCTAATAAATAAATAAGAATAAATATATGCCCCCTAGAAGGGGAGCAGAGAATTGGATGTTGCAGCTGGTGGCTGTCTCTCTCCTAAGAGAAACTTTCCCTTACCTGATCCAGTTTCACTCCTTCCTGAAGAAAAAGAGATGGATGGGTATCCATTTCTGCCAAAATGCCTGCTCCTAGGAAAGACAAAAGAGATGGGAAGCTTGTAGGAGACTGAGTTATAATCCTAAACTTGTGGGAAGGCACCCCGAAAGACAAGACATAGAAACATAGAAACAGAGCGAGTCAGAAGGATTCTCCCGGGCCGTCTAGTCTGACCCCCGGCTCCCACTGGCTCCGTTCAGGACATGGCCACCAAGAGAACCGACTCTCCAGCTAATTGCACAGAATTGCACTGCAAGCGATGGATGTCTGGGTGCACACGAGTATTACAGGATTTGCACTTTTAGAATTGCATAGTTATCCATTCGAGCCCATTGGCAAAAGTCAAACGGTCGTTGGACTGTATGCAGTCCCCACGGGTTCAAAATTAGATATAGAAGTGCAGAACTTCAGGGGTCGGTATCCTATGGAAAGCAGGGGGCACTTTCTGTGTCTATCCAGGAAATTAAACTCACATCCAATCCCCTTCTGTCTAATTCAAAGCTTCATCAACATTTAGCATAATACAAACAGTAAAGAACCAGTAAATAGAGGGGCTCTGCTTAGAAGGATGAGGAATGGATGGCATGAAATGGGGAATGGTGTTCCGAGGACAATGAGGCAGCTGAACTGAAGTGGGTGGCCATTTTTTCTAAGGACAAGGAACCAGTGTATGAGCACAACTAGTATTCCCCTATACTCCTCATTAGCCAGACCCCATCTGGAATACTGTGTCCAGTTCTGGGCACCAGGATTTAAGAAAGATGCAGGAAAATTAGAAAGGGTCCAGAGGAGGGAAATGAAAATGATCCAGGGTTTAGAAACACTGCCCTGTGAGGAGGGACTGAGAGAACTGGGCAAGTTCAGTCTTGAGAAGAGAAGCCTGAGGGGGGACATGCTATCCCTGTGGAAGTGCCTCAGAGGCTGCCACAGAGAGAAAGGTCAAGATCTCTTCTTGCTGATACCAGAGTGGAGGACATGGAATAAAAAGTTCAAGTTGTGACTGCGCAGATTCAGGTTGGATATCAGGAAAACTTCCTCACTGTCAGAGCAATACAACACTGGAACCAGCTGCCTAGAGAGGTGGTGGGCTCTCCCACACTAGAGACTTTCAGAAAGGAACTGGGCAGCCCTAGGATCTACATTACCATGGGCTCTCCCTCTCAGACAGTCAACAAAATTTAGGTATAACCAATCCCACATTTTTAAAAGTGTTCTCTGTCTCACACGCTGCAAACGGAAAACTGGAACTTCCGTGGCCTGCCACATCTTATATTCTTATCTCTTACTAAGCTGAAGGAAAGGCTTTCCGGTCCACAGGGCCCTTCCTCCTGGTTTTGAAAACAAGACTTGGCGCTCAGAGTGCACCGGAGCAATTGAGAACCGAGCGGACGAGGCGGTTTTACTGCAAGCGCGGCTCTGGATTAGCCCTGCCAGACCCAAGAGACGTGGGGCCGGTCAGGCTCTGTGTGCCCCGGGGCGGCTCTGCCTGGGGCCGGAGGGAACCCTGCCGCAGGCTGCACTTTCACCGGGGAGTCAGTCCCAAAGAACTGCATGGCCCTCACTGGGGCCATTTGAGTTCCAAAGAACTGAATGGCCCTCACTGGGGCCATTTGCAGCAACTGTCTTTAATATCGCCCGGGAACGGAAATGGCCGCAGCAGGGCGATGCGAAGCTTTTCTGCGCAGAGGGGGCTTCGCCTCGTGGCCTGCCGGGGGTTAAATGGCCCCAGAGAGGAAGAGGGTTGGGGAGGGGAGTGTCCTGTCCGGGATATGCCCTCCCCTCCCCTCTCCCCATCCCCTTCTTCCCCCCAAAAAGGGGACCCGCGACTTTTCCCAGTGCTGCGCCGGGGCCCCCTTGAGCGCGCAGGTGAGCCCTCCATCCCCGCCAGGTGCGCTTGCGCGGAGGGCGCCCCGGGCTGCGGGGCAGCGAGGAGGGGTGGGAAGTGCCCGGTGTGGGGATGGCGCCCCAGTGCAGCCCCCGGCGTGTCAGAGCGGGATGGGATTTTGCCCCATGGGGGAGAGTCGCCCCCCCCAGCGCTTTCACCCCATAGGGGGCGCCATGTGGGATTCCCACTCAGCACTAGGGAGCTCCGTCCGGCGGAGCAGACGGCCATTTTGACTTGGCAAGGGGGAGAGCCGCAGTGGGGCGTGGCCTGAAGTGCCCCATCGCTCGGGCACTGCCCCACCCTGCGCAAAGGGGCCCCCGGTGCGGCTCTGCACGTGGCTGGGAGGACCCCCTTATTCTCTGCTGGACTGGCCGGGTTGAGAAGCTAACCAAGGTGGTGGGGGGAGAGGCGATGCCCCACCACGCACTGATTTCGGGACCCCCGCAAGGGCATCGGCTTATGTCTTAAATTCACTGGTGCTGACATGTAAACGCTTTTGCGTGCATGGACGGGGGTGGGGCTGCTGGGATTTGTTGCTGGAGGCAGCGCAAAGATGTGATGTGATGTGATGTGCTGTGGTCAAGCTTGCGATGCCGCGGCAGGACACGCAATGAAGCGTGAGAAGGGAAGCGTCTGAACTCCATTCTCGCGAGTAAGCTCGACCCTAAGCGAAAGGGCAGCCGGCCCAGCGTCCGCGGCGCACGCCCCTTTCCTACCTCGGCCGAGCAGGAGGCGGAGGCAGCGGGCCCCCGGTTGGCCGTTCCCGCCCAGGGCGCCGATTGGCGCATGTGGCGCCGGGCGTCCCCGGGCGGACCTGCGAGGCTGGGCTCGGAGCGCTGCGCGGGCTTTCCCCATCCCCGCCTGCGCGAGTTGGCGCTGGTTGCTTCGGCGGGACGGGGACGCGGCCCGGACGCCTGGGTTCGGCGGCGGGTGGCCAGGTATGTCCTCACCGGACTGCAGGGGGGATGGGTGGAGAGAACTCCCCTTTCCTTTTTCCTTTTTGTATAACATTTGGGTATCACGAATTTTAACTTTGTACAAGTGCTTCCGATTTACACATTATAATGTTTTTGTTTTGGATGCAGTTTTTACACTTCCTAATGTTCCATTGCTAAACAATTTGAAGTATAAATGTTTGCATTGCAATTATGATTCAATAATAACATTTGTGTAGATTACATTTTTCTCACAATTATTAAGAAAAATATCTAATACACTTTCCAATTCTCATTAAATTATTTGGGTAGTCTTCCATTAATATAGCTGGTTAGTTCTGCAATTGCTGTGTAGCGTATTTTTCCAATCAATGGTTGGGCAGTTTTCAGCTTTCTGTTTTGTTGCAATTGTGACTCCAGCTGCTGTTATTTAAACAATTCTGTCATATTTCTTGGAAGAGTTTCTGTCATGATCATCAACAGCATATTCTTATCATTCCTAGGAAAGTTAATTTTTAATTTTTTCTGTATTTCAGCATGTATTTTTTTTCAAATATTTCCGCCTTTTTACTTGTAAACCACAGAAGTTAAACAGGCCCGTCCAATTCCTTGCATTTCCAACACATTCCAGTATAATTTTTGTCCATTTTCTCAATGTCTTTTGGGGTAATATTCCATCGAGAAACTTCTTGCATCAATTTTCTCTTAGTGCTTGACTGACTGTGAATCTTCTATCTTTTGTCCACAAAGTTTCCCATTGGTAGAAGGATATTTCTTCCTCAGACTTATACATGTTTTTAACATGTTTCATTTCTGTACCATATTGTAATACTTGCTTGTAAATCCATCCTAATGAGTGATCTTTTTGCAGTAAAATCAGCTTTTTTGTCAGATCTCTTAGGGTACCTCTTTCTATTTGAATGTCCTTTTTCAATCTTGCAGCCTTTTGAAAATAAGAGACGTCATTGAATCTGTTTTCCTCCGTCTTTTAATTTTTGCCAGGGCTTAATTCCTCCTTGATCAATCATACCTCCATGTGTTATAAAATCTTTACTTTCCCTTAGATGCTTATCATAATATACCTCTATTGGAGACACAAGAGCAGAAATTGGTGGACTGATTCCTGTAGAATATCAAATCCTTATTAAACCATGCTTGATTACATGGCTTTTGATTGGTGTTAAATCTTTTTAAACTGATTCCTTAGCCCATAAATAATTATGTAATCCTTCCTCCAAATCTGTTCTTTCCAATTTTATTAATGTTTCACCTGGATTTTTAGCCCAGTATGTGATCAAAACCAGACTGGCTGCATAATCACATTACTTAATATTGTGCTTGTTGTTAGTCGCGAAGTCGTGTCCGACCCATCACGACCCCATGGACAACATTCCTCCAGGCCTTCCTGTCCTCCACCATCCCCCGGAGTCCACTCAAGCTCCCACCAACTGCTTCAGTGACTCCATCTAACAACCTCATTCTCTGACGTCCCCTTCTTCTTTTGCCATCCATTGTTCCCAGCATTAGGCTCTTCTCCAGGGAGTCCTTCCTTCTCATTAGGTGGCCAAAGTATTTGAGTTTCATCTTCAGTATCTGGCCTTCTAAAGAGCAGTCAGGGTTGATCTCCTCTAGGACTGAGCAGTTTGATCATCTTATTTATTTATTTATTTATTAAAACATTTTTATGCTGCCCCATTCGCCGAAGCCTCGGGGCGGCTTACAACAATAAATTAATATAAACATTAAAAATCCA